AAAAAAAAAAGAGGTTAAGTATATATATATGATTGAGAAATCAACAACATACCATAGAAGAGCGTTTTTTTAAGACCAATTCTTGTGCTGCTGACTCATGCAGGCCATCACTAGGGACATTTGGTTCAGAGTATAGCCACCCAGATGATGAACTTCCACCACGTTGCTTCTCATTTGCACCATTGAATATGGAGCTATAGCCAGTGGCAGTTTCAAAGCAACTCAAATTTTGCACTAGGCGCGTGTCTGTGGTGCTTTTAGGACTAACATGGTTCCATTGGCTATAATCTTCATGCAAACTACTCTCTTTGGAGAAAAGCCAACTCTGCTGAAAGCCAAGAAAAGATTGATCACTACCTTGCATTAGGTTGCTGTGCTCATTGGCTTTGAAATTAATCAGAGATTCTGCCTCTTCAAGCTGGTAATGTGTGCCCTTATGAACATGACCATTGTCATTGCCACATAGAGGAGGAGAACGGGTTAAGGCTGAAGCTGAATCATTGCTGAGCCCATTAGTGTTCAGTGAACCATCTTCCTCTTCAATCACAGGCTTTTGGTACTCATTGACCCCATGAGATGTCAAGGAGAGTGCCATTAAGGAGGTAGGGGAAACCCAAATGCAAAAGCTACTATGATTTGTTAAGGTCAATAATGAGCATGACAACTAGTGAAGGAGGTCTTTTATAGCCTTCAAAAACCAACTATGTACCATATAGTTCTGTGATCATAAGTAAAATTAGTCTTTAACCTAATAGGTAAAAAATACCGTGAGAGAAAAAAAAAATACTATTATTGAGAACAAAAAATCAAAATCTAATACTAAAATATTGATGTGTGTTTACAATTTAAAAAGTGATAGTTTAATTCATCTTGATGTTGGGATTGTTAGCTGGCAAAAGAGAATGCATTTGAGAATAAAAAAGAGGCATGAGAATCGGCGGATCCTTCGCCAATGCCACGTCTCTTTTTGATTCCCTTTGGTTAGTCTCATTTTGATGAAGAAGCTTGAGCTGCTCTTGGGGTTGCTTCTCACATGCTTCCCCTTTATAACGTCAGCACGTGGACTCGTACTCTAATTTATGTAACATATATTATATATTATGTTAACATTCTGTGCAGCTGTCTGCACTAGTTATTGAACTGGCTAAGATAGCACTGATTGGAATGACGGGTTTGTGTATAACTCTATTTATTTTTTTCTCTGAATTCCTTGTTTTGTTGTTTTTGTAAGATTGACATAAGTAACGTGGAACATTTTGAATTCACGTACACAAAGTATAAAAAAAAATAATGATCTTTTTAGCTTCCGACCTAGAAGTCTCATGTAGCATGAATTAATGATGAATTCCCTACTAGTTTACTTAAGGTCATGTTCAATGGTTTGAGTGCATGCAGTTAGCTAGTATCGGAAAGTTGTCTTAATAGTCACCGTTAGCATGTTTTGGTTGGTCTCTTTTAATTATAGTCTTAATGATTATAATTATATAGAACTTGAATGATTTAGATAATTCTCACATTTCGAATTGATTTTGTAGAGTTAAAATAAGATGTAAGCTAAAATTTAAGATTAAGAACATTTTAGATAAAGGAATCTCAAAATACAAAAAGTTAAGATTTACACGTACTATCTAACATATCTTCTTAAAGCAGATTTAATCTCATCTCTTATCTTTAGCAAAAATAATATACATATTTTCTTCTAAAAAAAGTTGACTACACTACTATTATATACAAATTTAAGTACAACAACAGAGAAAGATTTGTACAAGTAAATGAATAAATATATACTCATCTACAAGTATATATTGAGAAATATATACGAGAACTATATGAAAATTAGATAAAGATTAATTTGTAAGGGTAAATAAGATTCAATCTCATCTCGTATCTTAAACTAAATTTCTATACATGTTTTTTTTCTAATAAAAAAGTTTAGTACACTTTTATATACAAATTAAGTACCTGCAGAATATATCAGAGAAAGATTTGTACGAGTAAATAAACAAATATATAGTTATCTACAAGTCTTGTGAAGAACAAGAATATATGTACAATACTGAAATTAGATAAATATTTGTGCGAGTAAATCAAAAAAGATATAGTTATCGATCGACAAATCTTGAGAAAAGCAAGAGCTTTATGCAAATTATATAAAGATGTGTCCGAGTAAATAAATAAATATATAGGTAGTAATTAATAGTATTTAGTATTATGGCAAGTGTTGAAATTTTAAATTTCTATTCATTTTGTAATTGTGCTTTATTAAAGAAATTAGATTTTATTTTATATTTACATGTTAGTTATTAAAATAAACAGTTGATAGGATAATAATTTTGTAAATATAATACAAAGATGTAAGCAGTGATTATATTTTCAATAGTATAATGTGTAGGAAAATAGTGACTAGTTATTTTCAATATATCAATGTTGTACTTGAAATATAAAATTATACTTAAAAAGAGTTATATATTTATTTGTGTTTATATATACTTATTAGCACAACACCAAAAAAATATATATATACTTATTAGTGTGTGTTTAACTCTCTTGATCAGACTTTTTTTTTTATTTTCTAATATAAAAAAGTTAAAGTTAGTCTGATGTTGCTTTTTAGTTGCATTAAATTTAACTGAAATATAAACATACCCTTAATTAAAACGTTTTTTTTAATAACATCAACAAAATTACTGGCGTAACAAAAATTAAAATATACTATATGAAGAATAAGACTCTTATTCTCTCAAAATTACTGGCGTAACTAATATTATTGAATATAACATTTTTGTTAAAATAAATGAAATAAGATGACAGATTAGTTTATACATGAATTAGTAATTGATTCTATATCCTTATATAAAGTTGCACTTTATCTTAAATTCTTAATCTAAACTTTTTATAATAATAAATAAATAAATATATATATATATATATATATATATATATATATTATTTATATTTATATTATTTTTTTT